TATTCTCTGCCTTTCGAGTCCCAGCTGATCAGGAAGAAATGGGGAATTTTCAATAACCTTTCCCTGGAGTGCAGTGGGAATGGAGATTTTGCAGCATCCTCCCCCTACCATGCCCATGCTTATCAAGCCATGCCATGCCCACCAAGCTGGTAGTAAAACTGGTACTAAAAATTTTTTTAATCCCACCACTGGTCAGTAGGGAAGCCAGATTCATTTAATAACCAATTTAAAACTACAGTGATTCATTTAACAACTGTGGCAGGAAAGGTCGTAAAATGGTATAAAATTCATTTAACAACTGTCTTGCTTAGCAACAGAAATTTTGGGCTCAATTGTAGTCGTAAGTCGAGGACTACCTATAAATACTTTTTGAAAACAAATAATAATCTTAAGGAGTTAAGATTTGGTGGCGTAATGGTTAGAGTGCAGTACTGCAGGCTACTTCAGCTGACTGCTAGCTGCAGTTCAGCAGTTCAAATCTCACCAGCTCAAGGTTGGCTCAGCCTTCCACCCTTCCAAGGTGAGTAAAATGAAAACCCAGATTGTTGGGGGCAATAGGCTGACTCTGTAAACCACTTAGAGAGGGCTGTAAAAGCACTATGAAGCAGTATAGAAGTCTAAGTGCTATTGCTATTGCTAAGATTTGCAATCCTGCAAGTTCTCACAAGGAACCGGAATTACTGATTCCAGTTTCCAGAAAAGGTTGTTGTTTCCAGTTTTAAAACCATTTCTTCCATCTCTCAGTTATATAAAATGAGATCCATTTTTCTTCCCTGTAGTATTTTCTCTTTCTTTTAAATCAGTATTGAAAGCATCTGTACACTGTTGATTGAATTGTCACGTACTTGACTATTAAATTTTAGAGGTGACAATTTATTCAGAGGGATTCAGATGGAATCAAACGTGGACAGAGTACTGAAAGATGTGCATTTTACTTTTCCAGCCACCAAGTAAAGCTCTCTCTAATATTCTGGGGAAGACCAATCTTCAGTTTGCAGGAATGAACATCAGTCTGAATATATCTACTACCAGCTTAAACCTGATGACTCCCGACTGCAAGCAGGTTGGTATTTTTCTCATTCCCATTATCTCTTTTTAAATTCTCATGGTTAGTATGAGCAAGCTATTTCCGTTCTTAATTCTCATAATTAAAAAAAATAACATTTGAATATACAATTATTTCAGTAAAAATATAGATACATGTGTATAACTCGAGAGGCCATTTCTTCCATTTGAACTCACCAATAAGTGACTTCATTTTCCCATCCCTTCAAGTACATCCTGCAGATGTAAAGTGGGTAGTGATCTGGCATGCTTCTTTTTTCATAGTTACTGTTATGCTATTTTCAAGCTGTGAATTTGCTTTGTATGTTGTTAGATTAATTGTTTTATATATTTATGTTTTTTTAATTTATTTTTTAGTTAAAAAAGATAAATGTAAATGTTTTAAAGAAATGAATATTTCTGGATCTTGATTTAAAAGCCATGAAGACAAAGATACTCAAATTGGAATGAAAGAAGAGAATAATTTAGCTTTTTAGTATGCCTACAACTTCAACCAGAGACCAGTGTTACACATTTTACATAGCATTGTGATGTGACTTTGGTGGTTTAAAGAGAAAAGCTTCGGTGTTTGTCACTATAGAAAACAGTAGGGTAGGACTCGGGGGTAGGTTCTGGCTTCTGTTACTGCCGGTTCGCTCAGAGGAGCGCTGTGGATTTGCAGGCACTTTGCTCACACATACGCTATGCGTGCATGCATAGCAGTAAAAAAATTGCTTCTGTGCATGCGCAGAAGCAAAAAACAAGATGGTGGTGCCTATGGCTCCACCGATACAACTGTTTCAGGGGCGTGTCCGACCGAGTTACTACCTATTTGGCCGAACCGGTCTGAACTGGTAGGAACCCACCTCTGGTAGGGCTATGTAAACCATGTCCAGAGGCAGTGGTGGGATGCTGCCGGTTTAATAACTGGTTCGGTGAGCGCGTGCTTTGTGTGCAGGTATGCGCAGTGCCGAAAATGGAGCATTTAGAAGCTCAGCTGCTTACCTTCCAAGTCAGCAACGGTAAGTAAAACAGCTGCCAGAGGGGATCAGCTGTGCCATGCGTTTGAGGTGAGCTAGAAAGCAGGAAATAAAGGACAGGATAGAGCAGGTGCAGGTGGTCAAGGCCAGCTGATTGTCAGAGTTACCGATTCGCCCGAACCAGTCTGAACTGGCTGAATACTACCTCTGGCCAGAGGATGAGACAAGAATAGTGTCATAGGGACAGACATTAAGCTGGAATTGTTAGTTCTTTGCACTGATTCTCGAAGCACCTAATAATGAAAGGTCATCTGTATATTAAGAGCCATACTGGAATTTAAAAAATAAAATTAAAAATGGGGGCAGGGTGGCATTGGCTTTCATTGCCAAATTCCAGGTTCACATCTGAATGACTCTTGAAGATCTTACAGACAGAGTTGCCATTTGAATGTACTCTAAATGGAGGCGTAGAGATACATGACATTTGTCACTGTTACCCTTGTATTTCTGATTTGGGCTTCTGATTGTATATACTCAAGAACACAGCTGGGGGAGGGGAAGAAAACTAGCATTCTTGTGTATCTCACACATTATGTTTTCTTAACTCTACAGATTATAGCAAACCATCATATGCAATCTATTTCTTTTGCATCTGGAGTAGATGTGGTAAGTCTCTTCCTTTCTACCATTTGCTATTGATGCAAGAGGTCATTGTGCCAAATGTATTACTTATCTTTCTTGGGGAGGAAACTGCTCATTGTTACACCCTTAGGGCATAGCAGTAAGGGAGAAAGACAAAGAAAGTTTCAGTTTATTTGAACATGCTTGTGATACATGAACATATTTTCAGCGGGGTTTACAATATATATGAAGTTTAGTTAAGATTTACTGATAATAATTTAATAATTTGTAAGAGCTCCATTTAATGGACTTGGAAAACTAGAATCCACTTTTCGAAAACAGCATCTCAAACTTTCAATTGATTTTTTAATCTAAAGATTTGCTCAGTTGCTTTACAAAGTTACCTATGCAAGACTTTGAGAAGGCTTGCTTGATCAATGTATCCGTTCTAAAATCTAATGTGATAGGATTTTTCTAATATTTTTGTCACCATGGGATCCAGGCATAAGTACCAGATTGCAAAGATTCAGATGAAAATTGAACTGACCTCTGAATCAGTACAAAAAGAAACTTTCACATTCATGATAGATGCTTCACTTTTTTATTCTCTATGCTCCTCCAACAGGATACAACAGACTATGTTGCATATGTAGCTAAGGATCCTGTTAATCACAGAGGTAAATAATCTCATCTTCCTTTTGAAAACATATATTGTCCAGATTCTCTTCCATTATTATTCTATTTCTAATGGCTTCCTACAGGTATTTTGCTAGCAGTGTGCTTGTATTTATTTGTTCAGATATTTGTTTCCTTTAATCAGTGGTGGGTGTCAAAAATTGTTCGAACCTACTCTGTGGGTGTGGCCTCCTTTGTGGGAGTGG